GGGGACAGGAAAGCTGGTGATAGGGAACCCAAGGTTGAGTAAGGATATTGTTGATGTGTTGTGAGATTATTAACCATTGTCATAGGGCAACATGTGCAGTAACTGTTAAATGAGAAACTATTTTGTTCTGTAAGCCTTCATCTTAAGTGAGAATAGCAGCACAATTGGAAGAGCGTAGTCAAGGTCACTGAACTGTGCATGTAGAAATTTTTGAAATGGTGTATCTTTGGCTATGTGTATTTTCACCAAAAAAAAGGTTGAGAACTTAAAGGGTTGACATGTTGTGGGGTTGTTAACCAATGTCATAAAACAATATCTGTACTACTGTTTCATGAAACTATTTGTTCTGTAAGCCTTCACCTGAAGTACAATTAAAAAAAAAAAAACTTCAAAAAACAAAGGTCTTCATTAACTACACAATAACTACACAAGCATTAATTATTAGCATTATCATTCCCTATTTTGAAAAAGAGTGAACAGGAAAAAGGAACACAGAAAAGAGGGAAAAAAGAATGCTGGTTTTTCTTTTCTATGGGTTTTCTTCTTTTTTTTAAAGCAGGCTAAAGACCCTTATGGAGAAACTTCAGACTTTATAATTTTACCTGGGATCTTACTGTCAACTGGACTATGAAAACAGAATCTGTTATGTACCACAACTTATTTTGTCATTTTGCTAAAAATACAGACACAGCTATACTATAACTAGTGCAGATTTAGAGGTTAATAAAAATCTAATGGCTTGTTTCTCTCTTAAAAGTTTAGTTCTGTTAAGAATCAGTGACAATTCTACTGTTGTTGTGTGCCATCGAGTCGATTCTGACTCAGCGGCCTTATAGGACAGAGTAGAAGGGCTTCCTGCACTGAAATCTTTACAGGAGCAGATTGCCAGGTCTATTCTCCTGCGAAGCAGCTGATGAGTTTGAAACACCGACCTTTCGGTTAGCAGCCGAGTACATAACCATAACTAAAATTCCCTTGTAACAGCCTTCCTCTTCTTTCTATGTCATTTTCAATCTGAGGATGCCCACATTTTTCATTTTGCAAATGCTAAAACATGAACTACAGATTCCAAAAGAAAAAAATAAAGCAGACCACTTAAAATGATAAGTTTAAGAGAAAAATTCAAAGTTTTGTAATTTAAGGTTAATTTTTAATAGAATTTTCAGCAAATGAGTGAAGGAAGTAAAATTGAAATGAAATCACCAAACTGTTGAGCAGTATGTCAGATATTTAAAAAAACAAAACACTAAGTATTAAACACTAAATTAAAACCAAAAACCCATTGCCGTCAAGTTAATTCTGACTCATAGCAACCCTACAGAACAGAGAAGAACTGCCCCATAGGGTTTCCAAGACTGTAAATCTTTACAGAAGCAGACTGCCACATCTTTTTCCCCTGGAGCGGCTGGTGGGTTTGAATCGCCAACCTTTTAGTTAGCAGCCAAGGGATTTAACCACTGAACCACCAGGGCTCCTTTCAGTACATAATAGGTGCTCAAAACAAACTTTTGCTTATTGAATGAATGAAATGTTCCTTAAACTTGCCCCTCCTATTTATTGCCTCCACTCAAGGCCAGGTTTTCACTATCTGAAACTTGGGTTCATTGACAGAGCCTATAAACTAGCTAATCAGGTAAACTGATACAAACTCCTCTGCCAAATTTTCCATAACCCAGTTCCATCCAACCTATTCAAAGTTTTCTTCTCCCTGCTCCTCAGTTAGAATCTAAAATCTTAAAGTCAGAAGGTACTTTAGAGGTCATCCAGTCCAACCTCCTCATTTTACAGACAAAGAAACTCAAAATGCTAAGTGATTAAATCACCCAGCCAGTTGAAAACAATTTTTATTCTAGGATTTTTTACTCTAGGAGTTTTTCCCAACTCACAACACTGCTTTGCTCCTAACAGATATCTCCTCACTGTCCCATCAACAAATGATACTCATTCCCACTGTTCCTGCTCAAGTTGTTTCTCCTGTCCAGACTGCCCTCTTTTTCCTGCTCCATAGATCCAAATCCTATCCATTCTTCAAAACCTCTTCCATTTGTCATGATTTCTTCCTTCTCTGAAAACCTTATTTCTTGAATAAGACATTAGATGAACAGGATCATCATTGCATACTGGGACAAATTTAATGCATAGTAACATTTCTCACAAAATAACACTACTTGGATATATTTGTTCCCTAAAACTATTCATCCATTCTTTCCTCCTGCATTTTAGAAAATGATTTCAATAAAAAGTAACTCACATAGCACCTTCACAAAATATTCATATACCTTGAACAGCAGCTCACCCACATCTTTAATAGGAGACATGTAAAACTTGAATGGCATTGCCCAAAATCACCTATATCTCCTCCATTAAGAAACAACTTGGTTTATTCACAAAGTCCAAACTCAAAACTCGGACACAACTCACCTAGTAGCCACCGCCCCTTGTGTTCACTTCTTTGCATGCTACCATCTATCACTACTTCCCCAAAAACTACATTTCTAACAAATAATTCATACTTTTCTTCCTCTCCTTCCCTAAATTGTGTAATATAGAACACACTGTTTCTTTTATCCTTTATTATTATCTAGATGCCTCTTTAGTGAAACTCCAGTTTGCTACCTCTCATTCAACCTCAGCCAATTATCCAGACCTTTCTATAAAAGTCACATCTATCTCTTCAGCTCTTCTCAGGTCTTAAAGTATCTCAACCTGATGAAGGTCAATTTTGTTTTTTCCCCCTTCTCCACTCTTCCATCCTCCAGAACAGGGATCCGAAAAGTGATGTAGGTGCACCTCAGAGGATGTGCAAAAGCAGGATCCACTGGGCTGCAGAAAAAAAATATCAGAACTCCCCTTACATTTTTTTTTTATTTCATCCTTTCTTAAATTATATTTCTATGCATGTTTATAAATTTTATAACATTAGTACCTATATATAATTAATAGACACATAAGTTATTGGAGTAAACCTGTGGCCACTGAGTTGATTCTGACTCATAGCGACCCTATAGGACCGAGCAGAACTGACCCATAGGTTTTCCAAGGAGCAGCTGGTGGATTAGAGCTGCCCATCAGTTACTGGACTATGTATATACTCAGAATTCTTACTGATAAAGCTCTATGATCAAAAGAGTGTGCAGACAACTATTCTAAAAGTACACTGATAATGAGGTCAAGGTAATGGGTTCCAGACTCTATAGGGTAGATACAGGTACGTACGTGTGTACACACACACACATACACAATATGGTACAAAGAAAAATTCTTTTCATATCCAGACCAAAGTCCTAACCATGCCCCCCAACCTCTAGCCCCTGCCAGCCATCTCAGAATTGTGTCCAACTCACAAGCACAGAACAGAGGATGGTCTGGTAAAGCCCTTCATTTCTAGTATGAAAAAAAAAAAAAATTCCTAAGTGACCAGAGTCCAGTGAAGAGATACTACCCTATCTTCCCTATAGAAAGGTATTTCCAAGCACTGTTCACTGTTCATATCCTGACACTAATCATCACCTAACTTACACATATACCTCATATGACGCCACTGCCTCTGGAGATTCAGTTCCTATTTCCCAATCCCTTCGGGCACAACTCACGTTCCCTTCGCAAACGACCGGTTTATACTCCCACCTTCTGGTTTCCTCCCTTCATCCTTCCCTCCCCTGGGGTTACCATCCACCGCCTCCTCCCCGGCGCACAGCCCCGTCCCAGGGTAGAGGACAGTCCATCCACGGTCCCTGAGACCACTTCTCTTTCCTTCTCCGCCCCCGGAGCTGCCAGCCAGGCTGGAGACGGAAAGGGGGAGGGGTGTGCCTCGCCTCCCGTGACCGGCCCAGATGGCAGCAGATTCCGCCCCCACTCTCGGGCACCCATCTACCCCTCGACCCCCTAAGGCTGCCTGTCTGCCTCCCACCCCGCCCCGACCCCACCTCCAGCCTCCCCGACTCCCTCACGCCCGGCACACTCACCATGCTGGGTGAAGATATTGAAGCCGGCCTCCGCGGTGCGCCCCGCCGGGTCCCGCCTGCGGCCGGAGGGCCTGGCTGCACTGCTGCCCCGAATCCCGCGGGGCTGCGACTGCTGGAGCCCCGGCGCCTCCCCGACGCGGCCCACCTGCTGCCCCATCCCTGCGCTCGCGTACTCCCGCGCCCCCGCGGACCCCTGGTCACATTCCTCCTTGGCTCCGGCCTCCGGCTCCTGGAGCTGCTCTGGCCTCCCCTCCCTAGTGCAGGGCCTGGCCCTGAGCAACCGGGCCACCGGCGTCCCCGCACCAGGACTCCTCACAGCAGCCGCCGGGCTGCCTCTCCGCGACTCAGAGATTCTCCTTTTCCCTCCTCCTCCGGCCGTTCCGCATCTCCAACGCCGCAGCTGCCGCCGCCATCTTTAAGCCACTGAGCACTGGGAAAGCGTGGGACAGAGCGTCTCCCGCCCCCCCACCCCGACCAGTCACCTCCGTTACTCAGAGGGAGGGCCTCCGGCGGCCCGGCCCCGCCCCCGCTCCGCCCTCCCGCTCCGCCCGGGGTCCCTCCGCGCGCCGCGCCCCCGCCTCCTCGCAGGGTGGGTCTGGGCCAGGGTTCTCCAGTGCCCACCTCATTTGCGGTCCACCGCTTCCTCAGGTCTTTTGGCCTCTCTGTTCCTTTTCCACACCTCGACGTCCCACGTCTGACCCCTCCTCAGCCGACCCCCCTCCCACGTTCTGCTCTACAAGCTACAGCCTTTTGGGAATCTCACCTCCACCTGTCAAATCTGTCAGTTGAAGGCTGAGTGCCCACCACGTGCACAGCTGAATAGTAAGCACAGTTGGGGCTTTTAGACCGTGCCAACCAGTTAAGGATCCCTAAAATAACCAGGAGAATCCCTTTAAACACTTTTGTCAGCAACAGGCCAAGAGTCATAAATTAAGTTGTACAAAATTTATTACTTAAATTTTAAAAAATTATTTCATCATGTTAAATTGCACTTGCATAGGTTGTCTGCATTCCTCAATCTCACTGGTGAAGCAGTTGTGATCCATTCCTCATATTACCATGAATTCCTCTTGCACTCCTTTACCATCTAACCACATGTGTATTTCTGTCACCCTTACAATGCTTGTCAGTAAAACTAATCTTCCCCTGGCATGCTTTATATATGTGCATGTGGCCAGGTCTTCCTCTGATGACAAAGGAGGAAAAAAAAAATCCATCTTTGACCCTGTTTATGACTCAAAAATTACTCATCCTTAACTTATGTTGTCTAAGGGGATGACTCAGGCAGAAGAGAAAAATGTATGTATACATTATGTATAATATATATACAAGTACATATACATAAACATATGTATATGTGCAATTCATTCATCACTCATCATTTCCCCTCTACTGTGTATTCTTGCATCTTAATACTGATCCAGTTTTTTTAAATTCTCGAGGAACATGGTAATGCCTTCCCCCCTGCTATTCCTTTGGCTTCCCTCTTTGCTTGTAAAAAAGTATCAGTTGTTGGAGGTACCACACTGAAAATGTGTTTAAGATTAAAACGAAGAGGATGGGAACCATTGCAAAAAAAGCAACGAAATAACTGTTGGAAGCTGGGGGCTGGGGAGAGATGTGGATGCAGGTCTCCTTAATATGTCTTTCGTAGAACCTGGCAGACCTTAGATGAACCATCCAGTGATGTAGATACTCACCTGGGTGATACAAATGGTTAAGCACTGAACTACTAACAGAAACGTTGGTGGTCCAAACCCACCCACAGGCACCTAGGAAGACAGGGCTGGAGATTTGCTTCTAAAAGTTCACATCCATGAAAACCCTATGGAGTAAATGGAAGTAAAACAACTAAAACAGAAAAAACAAAGTTGACACAATGTGAAGAATGTAATCAATGCCACTGATCGTTATGTCTAGAAACTGTGGAATGGGAGCGGGTTTTGCTGCATATATTTTCACCAAAAACAAAATTAAAAAAAAAGAGGATGGGAAGGAAAAGTATTGGAGACTGTCAGTATACACAACCATACACAATTCTTCGGTGAGGTTTGCAGTAAAGAACAGTAGAAAAATGAGGTGGGGAGTGGGATAAAGTGATGAGTGAAATAATTGGGTGTCTGCATGCTAATGGGAAAAAAAAACAAGAGAAAGAACACAATATTGGCACAACAACATGTTTGCCTTTAATATAATTAACATATTTTCTTCACACAAATAAAAATCCCATTCACCATTAAAAAAGAAAAGAAAAGAAAACCCTATGGAGCAGTTCTACTGTGTACACATGGGGTCACCATGAGTCAGACTTGACTTGATGGCAAACAACAACAAATATATAAGAGCACTATTATATTATTCCACTGCCATCCAGGTGTGTCCAGAAATAACTGAAATTGCCCCCCAAAATGGGAACAGAAACACTATCCTTTCCACTAGGTAGAATATCGATTTTCCATTGGAATCAGTTTTTTTGTGTTTAAAATGCACTTTTTTGAAATTCCCAAAATATATTTTCAATTATTGAAAAAAGTTCACAAGGGATAAAGATTATTATACAGCCAGAATTTAGTTTATTGTTTGATTTTTATTATCTGACAGAATTTTAATTTTGGGGTAACATTCTGGTTTCTCTGCTAATTCATGCATGCCGTATGATAGATGATACCAGCAATCATAAAGATGGCACAAGACTAGGAAACATTTCATTCCGTTATACGTAAGGCCACCAGGAGTCGGAGCCAACTCAACAATAACTAACAACAAAAAATATGATAGATGAGTATAATACAGTGCAATGATTAAGGGCAGGGACCCTGAAGCCACACTGCTTGAGTCCAAAACTTAGCTCTGATACTTATTAGCTATTTGATCTTAGGCAAAGTACTTCAACTTTTTTTGGGGGGGCCTCAGTTCTTCATCTGTAAAGTGACAATGATAATAATATTACCTACCTTATAGGGAGGAGCCCTGCTGGTGCAGTGGTTAAGAGCTAAGCTTCTAAACAGAGGTCGCAGGTTCCAACCCACCAATTGCTCCGAGGGAGAAAAGGTGGCAATCTGATTTTGTGAAAGCTACCGCCTTGGAAATCCTATGAGACAGTTCTACTCCATCCTATGGATCGCTATGAGTCTGAATTGACTCGACAGCAATAGGTTTGGACCTTAGACTGGGTTCTCCAGAGGAACAAACCAATGAAGCATATAAATATATATAGAGAGAGGTTTATTTCAAGGAAATGACTCACCAAGTTGTGGAGGCTGGCAAGTTCCAAATCCGAGAGCTTGAGGCTTCTCCTAACTCACGTGGTTCCAGGAGCTGATGAACCCAAAATCAGCAGGTCAGACAGCACACTGCTGGCTCACATCCCAAGAACCGGAGGTCAGAGGATGACTAGTCAGATGCAAGATCAAGAAAGAGGGAGAGCTTTGCCAGAACATCCATATATATTGGATGCAGGCCACACCCCCATGGAAACTCCCCTTTCAACTGATTCGCTGCCCACATCAGATCACAAAATGGAGAATGATTATATAATATCTGCCAAACCACAGAGAATCATGGCCTAGCCAAGTTGACACATAACCTTAATCACCACAGACTTTACAGGGCTATTGTGAGGATTAAGTTAATTAATATATATAAAGTACTTAAAACAGTATTTGGTATATAATAAGTGTCATATAAGCATTTACTATTAGTGCAAAAAACTTACTGCTTTCAGAAGTTCATCAGCTTTTCAAACCTAACTTCTTCATGTGGTATATACTTAATATCATGGAACAATTTCTGCAGTATTTATTCAAGTTAGTCTCCCACCCCACGTTTAAACTAAAAACAATAACCCAAAAACCCATTGCCGTCAAGTTACAGCAACCCTATAGGACAGAGTAGAAATGCCCCATAGGGTTTCCAAAGCTGTAAATCTTCAGGAAAGCAGACTGCCACACCTTTCTCCTGCGGAGCACCTGGTGAGTTCTAACCACCATCTTTTTGGTTAGCAGCCAAGTGCTTAGCCACTGAACCACCAGAGCAAAACAAAACACCAACCAACAAATAAAAACGTGTAGACTCATATATTACTTTACTAGTCATTCCTATCTGGTTATCACCAGCTACCTGCATGTGAATGATTACATAATACCTTCATTCTGCATATGAAGATTCCTCTACCATTGACTTTTAAGTTCCTACCTAGACTAAAGCAAATATTCTTATAAGTGGAGAATTAATCATTACATTTTAGGATAGTATGCCCAGGACATGCCTTATCTTATAGATATTTTTCAACTCTCATTTTCAAAGTAAAATGGGAGCTCTCAGAATGTGTGTGTGTGCTGGGGGGAGTGGGGAGGAGGCAGGGAGAAAGAGTAGACTAGGAAGAAATCTAGTTAATTAGATGTGGGAAACTATTTCACACCACTATCAGCAAGCCAAAGTGACTTGCCCAAGAATTACCTAAGGTACATTATCATAAGGAGTGGTTACTGCCACAGCTCAACACTTGAAACAATCACAAGCAGTACCATCCCAAACTGAACTGAAGACAGCTGTGAGCTCCACGCAGCATCAGAAACAGAGAAATTAATTAAGTAACAGGAACGACACAGGAACAGCCTTACCTGACTAATGGCCGGGAGCCGGCATGAAAGACCAGATGCATCACCAGCAGCAAGAAGGCATGCTGAAGACACAGATTCTCATCGTCCTCACCTTCCCTATCACTAGCAGCAATACCACCATTTCCAGAAACAAGGAACTTGTGAGCAACGTTTCACTGATCCCTGTCTTTACCGGTCTGCATTCCCAGGCTCTTGCCACATTTTACAATATCTCCCAGATCTACCTCTTTCTTTACATCTGCACAATCACAGTCATAGTTTAGGCTGAGTCATCACTCTGCTGCATTCTCCCACTATTAGTCTTTCTTCCTAGATTCCGCACTTTTACCACAAAGCAATTCATAAAACAAAAACTTTTTGTCCTCTCACTACTTTGACTATGTCTCCCCTTCATTTTGTACAAAATCTAAAATTTTCTTCTAATGTTTCAAAGTCCTTTCTCAGGATACCTTGGATTTTAATCCCTAATGTTCTTCACTTCCTGTTCCTCAAACCCCCACTCTTTCTGTGGTATGCATACATGTTCTATCCAATTAGCCCATTTCTTATACGTCTCCTTTTTAGCTATGACTTTTGCGGTAATTGTTGTTGTTAGTTGCTGTCGCGTTGGCTCCAACTCATGGTGACCTTATGAATAACAGGTAAAACGTTACCCAGTCCTGCATCATCCTCATGATCATTGGCATGTTTGAGTCCATTGTTTCAACTATTACATCAATCCATCTCATTGAGGGTTTCCCTCATGTTTGCTGCCCCTCAGTATTTTCTGAGTCAGAAAATACTCATC